TATGACCTCCCAGTTTAACAGCAAACTATTGATAAGTACTCTTTTAGAATGTTTTTTCAATCAGTGGTAAACCCACTTTACAGTAATTTGAGCTAGGCCCTATTTTTATTGTTTGTTTACAAGAATGTCATATGGGACTATATCGAAAGCTTTCTAAATTTCAGGAGTATCACATTTACTACTTCACCCTATCCATTATCTCATCAAAGAAGGAAATTAGATTGGTTTGGCATGATCTGTAACAGAATAGACTGATTTAAACTATAATTTACATATCACCAAAAATCATTGATGTAAATCAAGTTCCCACTGATACTACAGATATTTCTGGAAACAAGGATGTAAATCTGATCACTAAACCATGTTACAGCTCAGTACAGCATTTTACAACATCTAAGAGGGTATATGTTGTGTAATTCTTTTAGATAACTTGATTTTGATTAATACACATTACTTGTATCAAGCTGCAGATGTAGCATCTGCACATGTTTATGAGATTGTAAGTGTAGTTTTAGCATATTTGTGATAAGATTTAATTGTAACTTATTTTTAAATTCGAAATTTTAGTATTTTATTGATGATTTTTAAGAAAATAAAAAAATCCAGTTATAATAAAAAAAATTGATCTGATTTTTTAGTAATTTGATCTAGTATTTCCGAGGCATCAAAGTTAGGTCGATAATTCCCCAGATCCTCCTTTTCTTCCTTTTTGAAGATAAGAAATGTTTGTCCTTCTCCAGTGTGCTGGATCTCACCTGTCCTCCAGAAGTTCTCAAAGATAGTCAGGAATGGTTCAAAGATTGCTTCAGCTAGCCTCTTAAAGACTTTAGAGTGAAATTTATCAGTAATATGAATGTGAATAATATAACTCACATAAATAGCCTTTAACCTTCCTGTGTTTTGGCAACGGATCCTCTCCCCTTGTTGTTATTAATTGTGTTAAGCATTTCATTACAATTAACATTTTTGGTGAAGACTAACACCAAAAAGCCATTAAGCACATCAACTTTTTTGGTTTCATCCATTATTTGGTCTCCTTCACCATTACATAATAGATGTATATGGTTCAGTCTTTCACTTCTGCTCTTTTCAAATTCCTTGTACTATTGACTGGTTTATAGGGGCAAAAATCCACCTTTGTTGCTCGGCTGGCAGCCAGCAGCTGAAATTGACAAGCAAGAATTTTAGTTCACAGATGCTGCCTGACTTTTTCTTCCTGTTTCCATAGAAACCAAGGCCATATTGGTGAAAATAAGGTGTTTTAATAACTATTTTATAATTTTCACATATCTGGGTTTGCCATTCTGATATTCTCTTCCAAACCCCTATTATTTCATGCCTATTAAGTATGTTTTCTCTGTGATATTTTTAACACTGTGTTTGGCTTACTTTTTAAATAGTTAGACTAAAAACCCTTCTGTGGTTTTTACTTTGCATAGCAATTCTGAATTATTATGTTGAGATTATTTACCTGAATGTAGGAAAAACACAATTCCTTTTGACTGCTGTGCTAGCAATAGTTATCTTTTCACACAAGTATTTAGAGCTTTTAAAAGTCAGCTCAGATAAATAATTTTAAATAGTACATTATTTGACATTTAAAGAGTCCTCTGCACTTTTCTCTATTTAAATCTGCTATTTGTTAGGAATATTTGTGATATTCAGCTGTAATCTGCACTACCAGATGAGAGGGCATAAATAAACCAACCAATTTGTCGTAAATGATCTCAGTTATATTGCTCTATCCATAATCACGTACATACCACTGGAAAGTATGTTCTCCAAGTACAGTAATGCACATTATTTTCACTTTTAAAATATTAGTCACAAGCATTATTTTTTCAACAGTGTATCCAATTAAAAAGATAAATCTTTTGGTATGAACATTTATGAAGAGATTTCCCCTTATGCAAAATACAAAAGAAAAGCAGCATGTTTAAAATAAAAAGATAGATCAGATGTAGGGAATTATTTCCAATGATTTAATTGAGAAAGCTGCAGAAACAATTTACTTTTTTTTAAATTTAACCAAAAGAAATAATTCATACCTCACCAAGTGAGTAATAGCGTCTTGGAATCTGAGAGTCTGGATAGATGTTTTCTAGGTACCATGAAAACGGTTTACACTTCAGATTTTCTCTTAGTGCTTTTCTGACTGATACATCGCCATAATCCACTTTGACAACACCTAGAATTTTTCAGATAAATACATAATTAATGTATAGATTCTTTACAGCTACACAAAAATATCACTGATCATTTTATCATTTTCCAATTAGTATAATTATAGCTCGACAATATACAATTCCATGTAGCAGCTGTTACAACAATGAGATTTTTGCTGCCATCGGCAATAGCGAATTAAAGACTAATAAAAGCAATATTTATTCTATTTATAATACATTAATATAGAAAAATATAGCCATACAAATATCTTGATTCTCATGTTGGACATTTCATACCATGTGTCATTAACTATTAATCTAATCTCTTAGAATCAAAGTTAAGTAACCGTTTCATTTTATATTAGAAGATTTCAAAGCAGATAGGCTATGTCTACACAGCCCCCGTTTTGCACAAAAAATATGCATAATTAATGAGGCTCTATTTTTGCGCATTTTTTTCAGGAAGAACGGTTCTTGCACAAGAGGCTTTTTTTTGCACAAAAAGGAGCTGTGCAGATGGCTCCTTTTTGCGCAAAAACCTCTTGCGCAAAAAAGTAGCCTAAATTATGCGCGGCGATATTGCACGCTTCTCCTCATTTGCATATTTATTGCTCAAAACAGGTGCAGTATGGACAAAGCCATAATGTTTAAGTTCTGTCATTCACACTGTTCCCTTTTGCATTTACCATTGGTTCTATGTGCTTTGATTTTTTTAAGAAAGAAAGAAAGAAAGAAAGAAAGAAAGAAAGAAAGAAAGAAAGAAAGAAACTAGCTAATTTTAAGTGCCATTTTAAAAAGCATCTTGCTGGTGTGTCCAAATTTAATAAATTGATTTGAGAAAAATAACTCAAAAGGAAGATAGGTTGTTTTAAGAAAAATAAGTTCATTGTCTTTAAAAATTAGTTTGTTGTCTTTAAAAAATAAACTGACTGTCATACAGAACACACTGTCTTATTACACGTATGGAAGTAACAGTGCTGCTTTTTTCCGATCAATTTTGTTATTTCTGTGGGAGAAAATCCTGCCTTTCCTTCCCTCTACTGTATGGGTGCATGCAGCCTATGAGGCAGTGAAAACTAATGCTACACACCCGCAATAATACAACAAGCACAGTTCAGCTAGTACAAACAGTTTAATAATTTAATCTTTATAAACCAACAACAAATGACTACCCCAATGAAAAAGAGAAACAAGGAAGAAATTGTGCCTTATGGAAGTGCTCCAGAAACACAATGCCTCATGGTGCTGCTGTAGTGTGATATAGTTAAGGCTCATCCATGAGTAAGGTGCAGTGTTCACTAAAATAAATACAGGTTGAAGCTCTTTAGTCTGGTACTCGCTGGTCTGGCAACAAATGGTCCAAAATGATCATTTTAGTTTGCTGGATGTCCACTTCTCACAGGTGTGGCCATGTTTCTCATGGTCCCATAAAGTTTGCTTACAGCCACCAGTCCTGGCTCTTAGTGGTCTGTGCTGTTATTTAGATCTAGTTTACCCTTAAATATCTTCTAAAAGCCCAATAAGCAGTAAAGTGTTGGTAATGCTACTAGACAATATTGACATCCCATGGTTCAACAAATTCCCTGGTTCAACGCTAGTCAGGTCCCGAGAGTGCCAGACTAGAGGGGTTCAACCAGTACAATCAGTATACAATCTGCTTTTCAACATTATGAAGTTTATTTCTTCTTACAGTCAATATATGCTCAAAAAGTTAAGTCCACAACAATCTTATTTTATTTCCATTTTTTTTATTACGGGATTTGACATTCCAGAAATTACAACACACAATTTATCCCATAGCCACTGAAATCACCTCCTTGACATTCCTACTTCTTAAATATTTCATTTTTTCTTGTTTGTTTGTTTTTTGCCATTTAAATCTATTATTCACCATCTCTTTTTCTTTTGTGTTTGGCTGTTTCTAAAGGACTTTTCTGAAAATAAATAAAATGGACCAATATTCTCCAAAGGATCTGTCATTACATACAGGGCCAAATTTTTCCTCTCAATTATATCTGTGTAAATCCAAAGTAACTCAGTTGATTCAATTACTCCAGGATAAGATGAAATCAATAAGATTAAATTCAATAAGGCAAGTGTACTACATTTAGGAAGGAAAAAATCAAATGCACAAACAGAAAATTGGGAATAACTGGCTAAGCAGCAGTACTGCAGAAAAACATCTAGAGCAGGTATGTCAAACTCAAAGCCTACTGAGGGCCGCAGAAATGAAAACTGATAGATTTTAGGGCCACAGGGCCACCAAAGAAAATGTACTTTGTTGGAAAGTCATGGCTATTTATTATTATTAGATTATGTTTTAGCTATTTTATAATACTGCAATACAGGCAGTCCCCGGGTTACGTACAAGATAGGGACTGTAGGTTTGTTCTTAAGTTGAATCTGTATGTAATTCAGCCCTGTCTCCTGCCCACGTGTTCCGCCGCTTTGCTTCCTCTCCCTGGTCTGCTGGAGACCAGGGAGAGGAACCCCGTTCGTAACTGCGGATCTGACGTAAGTCGGATCCGCGTAACTCGGGGACTGCCTGTAATTTGATGTGTAAAATTGTTATTTGCTCATATTAAGTAATGTTAAAATTAATTTAACATAATTTTTAATGTAAATATAAATTTAAGGAACTTTTAAATTTTGTATATGATACATAACTGTTTTGTTGAAATAAAAACAAGTATAGACCATGATTAATCAAAGAGAACAGGCTTCTTTGAAAATTTCAGATACTTTGTAAGTTTGAGATTTTGCATAGATATAATTATTCATGCAGTTGCAAAAAACTGACATTAATTTTATATCAATAAATATACATTTTGTGATTTTAATTGGGAATACATAAATAAAAAACAAAATATTAACAAAATAACTTCTTCCTTGCCCCCAGAGCCAGGGACTCCCATACCCCCGTTCTAACCCAATCCCCCTCCGCTCTCCCAGAGTCAGGGCCCCCCCAACATAATGCCTCTCTCCTGCCCCAGAGCCAGGCACTCCTAGCCCCCCAACCTGAGGGGGGGAACTCCCAGCTCTCCTCCCCCCCCCAACATAATACCTGGGTCCCAGAGTCGATGTTGCTACCTGAGGTGCTGGGTTGGCGTGAACACAGCGGCCAGCTTTGAGCGCCTGCTGGAGTGCCCAGCGCAGAGCACCCAGCCAGCCGTGAGCATGTGCACAGAGCAGCCCGGCCCACTGTGAGCTGTTGCTGCAGTGCAGAGTGGCCCAGCCGGGATGTGAGCGGGCACTCGAACACGTGCTCCAAGCGGCCAGTGGGCCGCACTTCCTTCTTTTATAAAAGTGTTCTGGCAGGCCGCATAATATTTCGAACGATCTGCATGTGGCCCCCCAAATACCAGTTTGACATGCCTGATCTAGGGGTTACAATATAAAACAAATTAAATACCAGTCAATCATGTGACACTACTGCCAAAAAAGGCAAATGTCAACAGAGGATAGTGTTAACAGGATGTAAGAAATGGGAGTAATTGTTCAACTCTTGTTGACACTGAGATCTCAGCCAAAGAACTGTGTCCAGTTTTGGGTGGTACATTTTAAGAAAGATATGGCATTCAGACTTGAATTTTAAAAAGTTTCTATTCATTATTTTAGTTGATAATTGTCTCACTCCTGCATGTAGATTTGATTTGAAAATTAATTAAATTAGTTTTGTATTTTGTTCTGAAAGTACTAAGACTTCTGGTCATTCTTGACCGATCTGTTGTGTTAAACAAATTCTATAGTCCAGGGCCAGCACCTGTATTCCCCCATTAATGAGCCTTGCTCTTCTGGTCAATACTTCCTTGGTTTTAATGGAATCTACCTGGTATGGGTGGTCATAACTACAGAAGGAAGGTATTCCCTCAGTTACCTAGGGACAAGTCTATGGAGGGCTTTGAATGTTAGGACTAAGCTCTTCCACAGGCCTCTGTATGGAAGAGGAATCCAATGCAAAGAGCATAACTTGATGGAGATATGTTCATAGTGACCCATCTTGCTAAACAGGATTATTGAATTTTGAACCAGTTGATGCTTTGCTGAGTTTTATACCAGGGTGGGCTGCTTCACTCCTAGAAATAATGGGTTGTAATATTCAAACCTAGTCATGTAGCCAAATCTATGTCTAATAGCATGGAATAGTATCTGGCCACTTATAGATGGATGTAGATTTTTTTTTATTTTATTTTTTTGGCCACCATGGCTATATTGATTTTGAGAGGATTCTGCATGGTCATCTCACACAGTTCAGATGGGGCCTAAAACAGAGGTTCTCAAATTTCTTTACAGTATGGGCCACAATTCAATAGAGATACCTGCCTTCCTATTACCATCAGAAAGCATCCATCTAGCAATGACAATAATTAATTATAAGTAAGGGCATTAACAGATAAGAACTCAAAGCATTTCAGATGAGTTATAATAAGCACTATGTGATCATGAAGAAGTCTGCAGACTTTCAGCAAGGTATCTACAGCTCAGTTTGAGAACTTGATGCTTTCATAACACAAAACAAATGAAGGGAGAAGGGAAATGCAAATGAGTAAGGTGACCAGATGGTGACTGGCTACAATCTAATAATATATCCCTCATTCAAATTAAAGGAATATAAAGATTGCCTCTGTCTCAATTTCACAGTACTTAATTTTTGATTTTTGTGTGTATATATCATGGTAGATCTGAATGATGAAAAGGCAGTGGTCTTATGAACCATATACAAGCCAGTGTTCTATATGGGCCAAATTCTGCCCTTGATGATGTGCCCAGTAAGGTCAGAGAGAGAAAAGTTTACATCTGAGAGCACAGTATGTCCCTAATCTGATTTTCAAAACTTGCAAGTGTTTCTATAGCTTGTGATTTTTCTGTGTTTACTACTCCCTTATTTTAAACTATTTCAGTTCATTTACCACATTGCAGCCTAACATTGAAAAATGAAACATTAGCCACTTGAACTGTTTGTTTGTTTATTTTTTTGCAGCACGCAATAATCTGGATCTTCAATTTAAAATAACTATGCAAT